TTGCTAAATAATATTGTCAGCTAATAACAGAAAATCTTACTGAAGAGTTGCATAGTACTACTGTGCGTGTAGACATCTCAGTTAATTATCAAGCAAGTTCAGTTACACAGACAAGACATCCTAAAAATTCAAGCCAAGTGTTTTTAATCTCTGTTACATAAGATGATATTTGCCTTCAGAAGTTCACATGAAAGGGCAACGTACTTTTAACACACGGAACTAAGGAATATACAGCAGTATAGTTTTGTAGTCAAAACCAAAGAAAACAATCAGAAAGCATGGTTATTTGAACTTTCCCTTAATCAGAATAATTGGGACACCACCGATTTGGTTGAAATAGCAAAATGTCATGTAGACTTGTATCACCATAGATGGAGATTAAATTAGTTTCACAAAATAACTTTAGTCACCTTAGCAGAGAAAAAACCCTGTACCACCCTAAGTACAAAGGAGAAGATTCCTTTTGCAGCGGCTGGGACCAGCCGGGACGTTGTACAGGCACGCTTGGAACACGGTGAACGCAGCCGCTAGAATCCTGGGAGTGAGTTACAGCTTTCAAGCCTGTTCCTCAAGACACACTGAAATCCAGAACGTAAGCCCCAGCTAGAAACTAGAAAAACCCCACCTCTCCTGTCGCTCCATGCTCAAGTGAAGGATAAAGTGCTCTTTTGCAAGAAGATCCTGGAAGAGATCTCTTGAACTACCACGGGGGTTCCCCCTGCCCTTGACTGGAGGCAAGAGCAAGGTGAAGGAAGAAGTAACACACCTTGACAGGGGACTAAGGTATAGGAGAGAAAACCGGAGAGAACAGCAGTGAACAAGTGTTCCTCAGCTCTCTTTATGAGTTTTTATTTACCAAAATGTTCCTTGAAGGGTTTCAGCATTAACACTGTTATTTGTAATCAATAATTGACTCTACAGTAGAAAAGTAATGAGACCTCTTTGAGATCATTGCACAAAAACCTGGCAGCAAACCATTAACAACCCTTTGAAATGCACATGTAGATCACTTTCAGAAAAAACGAGTTACAGAATGTTTCTAAAGTGCAAAATAAATATATTGTTAAAGAAGAGAAACTAAATACAATTACTTTTATTTAAATCAAGTCCAGCACGAAAATATTTTAATATGGCAAATACTCCAGCACTTGCTGCATGCATCCATAATCTAGCTATTCACCGGCGTGATCATATTTCCACCCCTCTCCCCATAATATAGAAACTTGACAAGAAATTCAAAACATAAAATTTAGCATGAAGCATTTTCTTTTAATATATATTCCCGTTTAGGTATTTAATGTTTAACCTATAAATAGACACTCTCAGACACAAAATGCTTTGTAGGTGTGTTATTGTGCTGTTTTATGATTAAAATATTTTACATTAATAAGTCTAAAGCAGTTCATTCTTTAGTCATACTTCCAGTGAAAAAATTTTCCATGTCATTAAGTATCAAAACTGAAATTTGCATTTTATCAGTGAGTGACTATATGCTGATGACTACTTTAAAATAAATCTAGTTCACAAAAAGTATTGCTTATCTGAGTGCTAGGTAAATACTATATACAGGTACTCAAACAGTAGATGAGAAACATCATGTAGTGTTACTGTTAAGAAAAGTTTTAAGTAGTACAAAAATTTCCAATAATTTATGTCCTGATTCTTTTTTTTGTGTGTGCTACCAGGAAAAGATTAAAGGAGATTAAAAAAAATCAAAATACTTATCCCAACGGCTCTTGGCTGAAGGAACAAACCATCTATTTTTTGAACTGAAACAAAATAGTGCATATAGTTAAGATTTTCTACTAATTACAAATTTAATTTACCAAAGTAATATGGAGGCAGCATGTGGTAGATTTAATTTTATACAGTCTGAGTCATACACAATTGAAAATTAACGATCTAAAATTCTTAGATTGCTTTAAATCTGTAATTTCAGCATAGTGCTAAATATTGTTCAGTCTTGAAGGCTAAAGTGAAGAATTCTGGATTCTCATTCTAACATATGCAAAGCTCCTCTGCACCTGCTCTTAAAACTTTTTAGCAGCATAGTCAGCTTTATAAAGAAAAAAAGGCAAAACATTACTGTAATTTACATATTCTAATAATCTTTCCAAGGCATCAAAGGACCCAGCTCGAAATTCCTATTATAACTGACAAAATATATTAACATAAACTTACATTTACACTTTCAAAATTTTGTAATTAGTATTAAGTTGGCCTATGAAGCAGTAGTAAAGTGCAAAATATTTGGTTTAATATCTAATGATCAGCTTTTGCTTCTGTGGAATAAAGATGCGTAAGCCTGGCTCTTCCATTGACAGACATGGTGTTTGATGGAGGACCAACCTAGATGTGGGAGGGGGAGAGAAAGAAAAAAATAAAAAGAAATATTAATCTAACTTTTCCAATTCTTCTCTCTGTAGTATGTTACACAGTAGTACTACAGGTTAACAGAAATAGTTACTTTGCTAGTATTTTCCTCATTGCAATGAAAGACCTCCTGTATGATTTCTGAACAAAGCACATACGCTACAGAAGTGGAAATACAAGAAATTACTTAAAACCATCTTTTATCCTGTGTAAAAATTCCGTGTATAACTATTCAAAACGTGTAATTTTTAGTCCTCCTCCAGACCTGGCTGCACAGAAATACTTGGAAAAAACATCGTTAAACCAAACATTTTTTAATAAATCCTGAATAGAGATGATGTCTTACAAACTCTCCTAACACTCCCTTACACCCTGGTAATGTTTCCTGGGTCATCAGGGACAGCCAAGACACGTGAATGGGAGCCACACAAACCGTAACCCGCAGCACAGGCCTTACTAAACACAGGGAAAACATCCTGAAGAGAAAAACGGTTAAAAAGAAACCTCACTTGACCCCATAGTAGGTTAGTAATTACTGAGGGCCCCCTTGAACCGAAAAGACCCCATACTCCCAACATATTAAGTCAGACAAGGAAAGAAAAGCAAGCAATTTGGCTACTGGTGCCAGCATCTTATTTAATGATTCTCTTACAGACCTGAAAGCAGGGAGAGTGTGGTAAGAAGTAAAAAGAGAACCAAGCACCTGATAGGTGTCCTTCACAATTCAAACTGATCAGGTGATTGCTCCCTTTACTCGAGAGCAACACAACAGCGGAAGCTCGGAGGCGGATACATTTTAAACCCTTCCAATACTCAAAATGACTTTTGGGTGCTAATAAGGTAGTGATACAAAATGCTTCATTGGTCTGTCCTACTGCTGCCAGTTCTCCATCTGAATCACAAAATGAAATCGCCTTTTTATTACATCTGTCATAGCCAAAAAAACCTTTTCTGCTGTCAGACATACCTGTACCACAGCACACGTGGCTCTGGGTAAGAGCAACGCGAACAGCACGTTCAGTTGTATGTTTTCCAAAATTTCAGGGTGTTCTTCATAGCATTTTTGAACGTGTGTATCGCAGGGGTGGTTTTGAAGCCTGTTTTAGGTTTCTGTGTTGCAGAAGGCTTTTCTTCCTGTTTACAGCATCTTCATTATTGTAATTTCTCCTTTAAAAGCACAGCCCTCTCCTCACCCTCAGCAGATACTACACTAAGAAAGAGCATCTCCCACCCACAGAAGAGGAAAGTGAGGGGAAAAGGGACTTGAACCATCATGTCTCTCTTCTTTGCCATGCCATTCTTATACCTAAACTGATAAAGACTACATGGGTCAAATCTACCCCAAGAATATTTCTAGTAGGTGTTTCTTGCTTTCTTTCTAGTAGAAATAGACTTCTTGAATTTTGAAAAGCACATTATGAAATTTATTTTTTAAAACAGTTATAAGCTACTGTGCCACGAGCAATGCCTATGCATATGTCCCATAGAATCATGAGACAAAGTTCACACACTACGTAGAATAAATGAAGTTCAGTATTATTCAGAATGTAATTATGCAATAGAGAAAAAAAACTCTCAGCGAAAATATATACAAACAAAATCCATACAAGATTTCTGGTAGAACAGATAGATTTGACCTTTAAGTGACTCTGAACAATACAGCATTTTCTTAATTTTATCCTGCAGCTGTGGTTAGTAACAAGCAGTCAGAAGCAATACTATGGTGTTTTATGTACTGCTTTTACTGACTTGAGGTCAAAAACTACTTGAGCATGCTTGCAACTCTTCCAGAAAACTGACTCTTCCTATTCAGTGTAGAAATGAAGGGAGGTCTGTAAGCCTCCGAGAGGCTGTTGCAAGGCTACACTGAAACAAAACCTTGTGTATGAAATAGATTGTTCCAATACTTGACAATCCACTAAAGGATTTTGACCCTAGGAAATCAAAGACTTCCATGAAACCAAAAAAGCCCTCTCACATCCACCCACCACACATCAACCACACATCGTTTGTTTCTTTCAAGTCTCAACTGGGAAAGGAAAGAGAAAAAAACCTACTCAATTTCTTTAACCTTCTGCAATGAGAAATTACTCCTCAACACAGAATACAAAATACTAATTCTGCAACAAGAAAGCGTTGTGTGAAACTATCGTTGAATTGTCTGGTTACAAATTTAAAACAATTCAGATATTTAAGTGTGAAAGGTTTTACGTAATGAGAGAAGTATAGGTGAATTTTAGGAGTCAGAGAAGTAAAATTAAGTTTTAACGTGAGGGCGTGGACAAAGATGGTCCCACCAGGACTGCTGACAAAATATTAAGAAATATCTCTCTAATGATACCAAAAAGCAGCAGGAAGCTTGAAATACATTGAAGAAAAATTAAGGACCTGACAGAGTCTAATAAATAGAAAATACAATCTTCAGGGCTTCTGTGTATTATCTGCAAAAGATTGCAGCTACTTCAGGTGCAGGGCAAAGCTGCTGAGCATGTGTCTAAAAATCTACCACTCCAAACCAGAAAAACACAAAGAAATAACTGAGTATGTTCCTGAGTTTATAAAAGAGATACTTAATTGATAAAGCAGGGATTAACAGTCCATTTCAGGAATATTTCCGATTGCATTTGTACTGCTTGAAAATATGGACACAGGAAGCTCTGCATGTGCAGTCACCACTTGTATTCTGCAAAACCAAACTCTCTTCCCCACCTCCCCTCCCACGGTTACGAGACCTCCTGACAGCGGAAGCGAACTGCTTCTAGCGTCAGGCATCAACATGGTAACCCTGAAGGAAGTACCATGAGCTCACTGTTATGGAGGCAACGATGAAAACTCACCCTTTTCAATTTGGCAGCAGCTTCTCCCGAGCGGATTGCAGCCAGCAGGCTCTGGTGGATCTGTTCTGGGTCCGGGCGCTGGAACGTCATCACTGTTGGTTTCTTAGTGACAGGGGGTAGGTGGTCAGTGGAAGCACCTGACTGCGCCTGACTCTTCTGCTCGCTATTCACATTGCTGCCTTTCTATAAAGGGAGGAAGTGGGAGGAAAATCAAAATAAACTCCTTTAATCTGAATTAGTCATAAATAGAAAACTAAGTCAACCTGGCACAAGGCTGAGCATCAGAGTGCTGCTGTTCTAGTGCTTGCTCCATTCCAGATTTCAGAAATCAGCCACACTTCAGCTATTGCACATAGTTTCTTCCCTCAGATAATTAGGTGAGCAAAATTTTATACCCCTGTTCTAGTGTGTTTGTGCCATGATCACTTGAAGTCAAACTGATCAAACTACTCAGCATTTAAAAAATCAACACATAAAACCATAAAAATAGATATACACAGTATAAATGGTTCTACTTCATTTACTCTTATTTCAAGTAGGGGATGCTAATTAGGGCAAAGCAATAATTTCCAAAAATCTGAATGGTGTTTTTTCACTCAAATGGTTGTACTTCATTTACTCTTATTTGAAGTAGGGGATGCTAATTAGGGCAAAGCAATTATTTCCAAAAATCTGAATGGTGTTTTTTCACTTTCCCTGTACCCCTGTAATTCATTTTGAAGCTGTACTACTGGCAGACACCACAAGGTGTTTACACTGTGTGAATGCAGCACCTTCTGATCAGGAAGCCGTTCAGACTAGCCTCTAGAGTGGCCACACTAGATGACAGCGGATCAACAGTCAGTTAATATCAGAAATAAAGTTTACCTTATCCATTAGACTATTTTCTGACCTCCCTGTTACTGTCTGTAAGGAAGGGCTTTTCACTTGAGGCACAGAGGCAGCTGAGGAGAATTCAAGTGCCGAAGTGGCAGAGGAGAGTTCAACAGGCAATTCCTCTCTCGGTGCCTGGCTAGTGATTGTACGTGTCTTGTTGAATGACTGTGACCTTTTGACTGCAGAGGAGACGGCAAGAGCAAAAGGGGATGGTCTCGAACTGGAGTACGGCTTTGGAACCGCAAAAGTTCTTAGAGTTCTTAGGTTCAACGGTGCTGGTGGACAGGAGGGAAAACTTGAAGGTTTATTGCTTTTAACAGGAGAAGTGGAGGATTCCGTGGAGGATTCCATTTTTTTCCCATCATCGACTTTTTCTTCATCTGCTGGAGAAGAGAAAGTGTTGGTTTTATGTAAAGTTGGATCAAGTGGCAAGACCTTTTTTTCCATCTCTGTATTCTTAGCATCATTTTGAATGGAATTAGGAGCACAAACAGTACTTCTGGCAATTGCAGAGGTCACATAATGGCTGGAAGCTCTTCGTTGCATTTGTAGATAAAAAGAACTAGGCTTCATTGTAGGACTTAATGCATTTGACTTGTCCTGAGTCTCGGAAGAAGCATTTGTATTATCCAAGCTTAGCATCAGCGGGACACGCTGTTTGGAAGACTCTGTTTCCGTCCACCTGCTCTCAGCAGTAATCTCAGCTCCAGATGACGCAACACGTTCAGAAACACTATTCGCTCTGTGCAGCAGATCATCTGCCGCTGCCGGTTCATTGTGTGAACCAACCTGTAAATGACCCTCGCTTTTTGGAAGATGAGGAATTTCAGCTTGCACTATGAATTCTTTGGGGTGTTCATGTTTCAGAGAGTTTTCCAAAACAGACATCTCTTGATCTTTATGATCTGATGGAACTGCTGATTCCCAGTTCTTCATTATCTCTAAGGATTTTGGAGGCACTATTGTGTAAGTCGTCATTCCAATTTTTGGTATGTAATCCCTTGTAATTTCATTAGCAGGCTTGGGTTTAGGTTTGGTGTCCTGTCTGTAAAAAGGTTGATTTTTTATGGGAGAGCCATCTGGAGCTTTTGCAGTTGTTTCTGGCGAAGCAGAATTACTGCCATTTATACAAATGTAACTCTGATCTTTTACGGGAATTATTTTTTCAAGGGCAACTTCTTGTTTCTCAAGATTCTGTTCTGTTGAAGTATCTTTATCCTCTTGTATTCCATGCATCACCTGAAGAAGGGGGTTGTTTGTATCTGTGTTGTGCTGAGGGACCAGTCCTCTGAATGTGGATGAGTCACAATCCCGACGAAGAGGAATTTCTCTCTCTACAGTCCTTCCCAAATTGCTATCTGATGGGCCTGTCTGGATCGCAACATCCTGAGTTTTCACTGTGTCCAAGGTAGTTTGATTTGGTTTTTGATCTTGCTTTTCTGGAATCAGTTGAGGATAATTCCTATGACTTGTAGAGATGTCGTTTTTACATGCCTGGCAGTTTGATAGTCTGTCAGCTTCAAGCTTGTTATTTTCTCTAAAATCTACTGTTTGCATTTCAGCTGTCTGAAGTTCTTTCACTTCTGTTGTTGGAAGGAGTTTTGTATCACTGTGATCTTTAATTTAGAGAGAGATTCCAAAATTAATACAAATGCCAAAAAGATTCAGTCCTCCCTCTCACAAAACAAAGCCCCGCATTCAATGTATTTAACTACAAGGACTGGCTCTTAACTGACATTAAAATTTTCTTTAACACTTTTAATGGCTAAAGACATGCTTATCTTTTACTAATATTGCCAAAAAATAGTACTCTAACTCAGGTATTCTTCCTTAATTAACAGGCCACTGGTGCCATGCATCAACTTAATAGAAAAATCTATTCTTGAATCCTTCAAAAGTGCTAACAAATTTCAGTTGATTCTATAGGTGTCAGTGACTCAAGAGCTCAAGGACTATTCAACATTGAAGTCAGATGTAATTTTTATTTACTTCCACAATTTTGTGGCTTCTGGTCTTTAGTTTTAACATTAGAAATGTTATTTGTCAACTACACCTCATCTACTTGTAAAAAGGAACAACTGGAAAACATATGGAAAAAAGTAATTTTCCAACTATTTTTTCAACTGTTTAACAGGTCTTGATAATTCAGTTTTCTACCCCCAGACTAAATACCTAGTCCTCTCCAAAACACAGGAGTATTTGAGTCAAATTGTTTTAAATACAGTGTTGGAAAAATTTAATTTTTTTATGAATAATCATTTTGAGTGGCATTTTAAAAGAAAAGGCAGTTAAAACTTGTTTCACATAAACAGAACTTTCACAGTTTGTTTTTATGATTTATAAACAGAGGTGCACTGAGCCTAAAAGGCTATGGAAGGCCTAACGTATAAATCTGAAAACCGGTGTCACAAAAGGGTAAAATAAAGTCAGTCGGGTCACTAAATCCACAGAAAAATTTATGACCCATTAGATGTAGTAATTTCATATCAGCGTGTCACTTTGTTCTATTTGTGTTTAAAAATACTTGTATTTTAATGTAGCAAACTCCTGTTAGTCTCAGAAGGAAAGAAGAACGGATGGCCTCTCCTTCCCCACGGGGGTGCAGCGCCCGTGTCACACCACGGGGCAGCAGAACCTCTGTCCAGCCTCCCCTCTCCTCAACATTGCTCCACCCATAACGTCCCAGAACATGATGCAGCTTTGACTACGTCTATAACGAAAAAATAAATATATTAAAAATAGAACCCCCCAAACTAAAACTGCAGTCAATTCTTGTCACCTGACCTCAAAGAGGATACGCTAGGGCTAGAGAAAGTTTTAAGAAAATAACGTGATGATTGCAATTTGGTCCCCATGTGTTGCCTGATTAGTTGAGAGGCGTCCCTGCCCAGGACAGGGAGGTTGGATCAAATGATCTCTAAGGTCCCTTCCAGCCTAGGCCAGTCTATGGTTCTGTGATTCAGTTCAAGAGTTGACTGTATTGTCATTTTTTCCAAAGGAATAGAAAAGTTCTCCTCAACTTTGCTTTGAGGTGTTAAAAATGAGCGGTAATTACTCACCATCGGTTTTATTTTGATCCAAAATTCTAAGCTTCCGGTCTTTTTCAAATGCAACTTGCTCACCACTTATCTTAGCCTGTAGTCCCCTGCAAAACACAACAGTACATTAAACACGCTGGTATCATTCGTTTCAGTAAACACAAGAAGCGATGCAAGAGAACTGGCAATATTCTCCAAACACAGATGGACAAAATAGAATCACTCTGCCAAACACTGGAGTACTCAACAGAATAGATGATTATTTTTTTAAAAAACACGAAGAAATGCTGCTATGATATTTTACCAAAACAACATGCAGCTTCACTCTCTTCCTGTAAGCAGAGGATCAGTTTTCCTTTCTCTTCTCCTGCTCCTTTTGTTTAATCGTGCAGTTCTAACAAGCCCCTTTCCGGTAACAACTCGATTTCATGGAAGCCACAATGATTTATCATTCATATAAGTGTCCTTAGTGTGAAGTGCTCTGACACCACCACCATTTAAAACTTGATTTTGTCCTTGACATGATACACAGGAAGCTGCATGAGACGTTGGCTGCTTATGAACACATGAACTGTGCAGCAAAGACTTCTCAAAACAGTAGTGAAAATTCTTCTGCCCCTTTCAAGGAATACCTTGAGAACAAAGGAACACACTAAACATTTTGCAAATGTATACAATTTCTGTCCTCAAGTCACGGGGGCAAGAAAACTACACAAATGCTAAATAAACCCCTCATCTTTTTTGGAGGGGGAAGCATTAAATCCTTGTCTTAAAAAAAGTAAATGAAAGGTCAAAATACTTATAATTTCTCTTTAGAATATTGTTAGAACTTCAAACTAAGATATTTTTCTTCTCTGTAGTTGCAAATACCAGCATTATGAAGATTCCAATTAATTTGCCACATTAAACAGTAGTTGTCAGGAACCAGTGCCTTGAGCTGAAATATCTGCTTAGAATCATTTAAAATGATAAATTCCCCAATAACCATCCATTTTCATGTTGCTTTTACAGTCCAAAATATACTGTATGTGTCCAATAAACCACTAAACAGGAGCACATGCTCTCAAAATTACTGTTAGAAGAACGTTAAAGCTTAGTCCTGCACTCGGTATTCTTCCTTACCTCCACTGCCTTGAGCGCAGCTGAGGAACCGAACTACAGGTATTCACAACAGGCTGAACTGTTTAAAAAAACATAAACCAACCAAAACCACAAACCACCACAGAGTATCGTTATAGAACTAGGTGGTTTTGACTGGAATATTACATATTTCCCTAGTTGATTAAAAAACACTTGTTCAAAGTAACTGTATCTTTTATGTAAGATCTGAATTATCAAAAGGTTTCCAGAAATACAATGTCAGAGAAATCGAGTCCTCATTCTGGAATCCCTGTGATATTTCAGGAGAGAAGGGACTGCCAAACTCTGAAGTTAGAGCACCGTGCACACTAGATGACACTTGCCAGGGTTATAGGCCATGAAAGTCTGTTACAAAGTTAGTGAGGGGGAAAAAAAGAAACATCTCCTGGACAACTGGCCAAACTGGCCCAATAACACAGGTCTGATAATCTGCAAGTGGAAGACAACTTAAAAATAACATTTGGCTAGTCCTCCTCCTTGTAGATCCCTACAGAGCAGATGCACCCAAGGAACTGGCACAATGGTTGTCAGGACAAAGCACCAAAGATTTCTGCAAAGCCCCATTTGGCCTTGGACTGACAAAAAAGACCCTTGAAATACAAGTCAAAGCTCTCCATTACTACCTTGAAAGTTCTTGGCTACTAGGGCAGTCACACATCTTGGCTTCAGTCCAGTAATTGAAATAGTTCTTTCAATTTAATGTGGGAACAGTAGCCAGTTGAGTTGCCCCAGGGAACAGAGAAACAGTGAATTACATTAACACAATGGGACTTCTCTGGACAATCAACATTTATTTCAAGCAGGCACTAACTCAGGCTGGAAACCTGCTGAGTCAGGTAGTTTAACAAACATGCCGAAGGGCAAAGGTACAGCATCACCAGAAGGAAAAAGAGCAGTTAAGGAAACTAATGCCTTCATTCTTTAAAAAGGCAGAATTAACTTGTTTTCCTGAGAGCAGATGGATTGAGACAGGTCAAGATAACTGCATAACGTCTAAAGAAAAGACAAAAGAAAAAACAAATACGCAAGCAACAGTTAACTGTGCCCAGAACAACAGAAATGGCCATTCCACCTGTTTTTCCCCAACTGTAAGAACAAATTTGTAAATTTTCATTTAACTAATCAATTGAAATTTTTTGTAGCACACTACTCTAGTAAATATGCTGGGAATTTAGGAGCAAGGTTCAGCTTTTTCAGAGTCCAGCTGTTTGAGTGGTACGAACAGAGAGGCTTAAGGAGACTAGCCTGCAGAACACTTCTTTGTCATTTTCCTTGAAAAGCTCCATGAATTACTGTGCACAGAAGAGTGCTACAATGAAAGCCGAGCATATTATTAAGCTCATTCCTCTCCCACAATTGTGTTCTGTGCCTCACAATGAAACAGTACTCTACATTTGATTTGCCTCCCCCATTCCTTCCCCAATGCTCCTTACTTTGTCACAAAAAGTACTTACTTGCCATCTGTGCTCGTATTTTCTTGTTTTTCCTCCTTGAAGCTTTGCGAGTTGTCTACAGAAGCACTGCCAGGAGCTGATGAAGCAGGAGCATTTTTTTCAGTTTCCAGTGGTACCTCAGCAGAGCTGAAGGCTGCAGTAGCTTCTCCTATCCCAGGAGACGTATTTGGACTTTCCCTGTGCTCTCTCTGTTGCACACTCATCTCTTCCCTTTCATCAATTTCTTCCAGGTTGTATTCTGAGCTCCTTACACCTACACCCACAGAAAGAAAAACAAACAAACAAACAAAAAACAACACAGCCCACAGTTGTCAATGCAGGTTGTAGATAAAAAGAGAAACCAGTGGTGAATTCAGCCTAAGTAGTCCAAAGAAGGAAAATTGAGACTTCTTTTCATAATTTGAGTCAAAAAAACCACACCATCACTTCATTCAGAGTTTTAACCTCACAGTACTTTGATTTTTTCCAATTCTCTCTCTCTACATGTGAGAATATGCTCATCGCCAGGCTACTATCCATCTATTTCTGCATCCCTAACTACTGTATAACATCTTCCTTGTCTAACCCAAGTACTGCATTAGAATAGATAAAAATATATTTAACAGTATCATAATCTAAAATTTCATGGAGGCAGGCAAGTTTTTTTAACCTGGATTTCTTAATACTTCCATTAGCTCTCCAGTCAGGTTTACAGTACACGGTTGCTTTATATCAGAGTAGGTATGTTCAAGAACTGAAGAGCAAACCAAATCTCAATTTTGCCCACGGTTTGAAATAGTTACCTCCCCAGGGAAAGCTTATTTACTACTGTTGCAGCATCCATAGCAGGGGGCATTTAAGGACCTCTTTAAGGTCCCCTCCAACCCAAGCTATTCTGTGATTCTATGATTCTAAGTTTGATCACCACTATGCAATCTTTCCAGTAATTAAAACACAGTTAGAAGTGTCTTGTGCAGTGCCTTGTATTACAGTAGAAATGCACAAAATTAAAGTACATATAAAAATGTTAAACCATAAAAATAATGATGTTTTCGGCTAGCGCATGGTTAACTAGAATGTTTAGTTGCTGCATTAGGACATACATAAGTCAGCGTACCTTAAGTTAAACTAATAAATCCACCTATTTTAATTTCCAGAAGGATTAACCATTTCTAGCTTTATTTCCCTGGCAGCAATCTTCCTACAAGAGACGATTCACAATTTTCAAATATTAGTATCGATACAATTAACCCCTTGGCTTTGCAGCCTGCATTCTCTAACACACAGAAGACAGTCGTCCCCTCTCTATAGTGCAATATGGTGCCATGGAAGGGCTCTGGCCACACCTGAGGCACAGCAGCAGCGCGCTCTGCCTGGCCCGACCCGCGTCTTTCTGTCAGCTCTGCAGGCACCGACACTCGTGAGCTACGGGTCCTGCACTCAGGCAATTCGATTTCAGACTTTTCTAAGTTGTATCAGTAGATTGCCAAATGTAAACCGAGGCCATTAATGAAAACAAAATCCTGGCTTAAAGCTATCATACTAGAAAGTAGCAGATCCCAGAGCAAGAAAAATCTTCGATTGACTGTTGTTTGTACAGACAGATATCCTACAATGCTTCCAGTACTTCCAGAGATGCACACAGCTATAGAAACATAACAGAGGGTTGTACATATTGGAGAAAGTCTGAGTAGAGAAGCTTTGATTTTTCAAATAGGGTCATTAGTTAAGGGTTCAGTAATACTGAAGCTACTGATTCAGGTACAGAGCATCTACAAAACACAAACCTTGTACTATTTAATTCTAATTGTGTATTGCACTCTTGTAATAATGCTTTGCAGTTACACATCAAGCGACGTGATCAACACGTGTCACAGCACTGAATGCAGAGGTGATTCAGATCCCCAGGTAAAGAGGGGCAAGACTGCAAAGTGGTGCAGGTGAGGTCCTCCACATGATTTAAGCACATACAAACAAGCCACCCTGGTACTAATGGGACTCCTGAAGAACTTACTACTAATAAGGGCCTTCTGTTCCTTCCCTCTGCCATCAAACTCTTTCATCTCTATCTAGGGAAAAGTCATGCCAGCAGGCTCATATTTTGGCAGATTATTTTAGTGGCAGCGATACGATTTTACGTATGAAGACATAAATACGTATGTCACAAGGGACAAATAAAGCATAACAGAGTGTGGGCAAACATCAAACCTGCTGAGACTATTCCACAGTCCATAACCAGCTCTCAGGAACACCATCTCCTTCCCCAGTGAGAATTATTATGCCGTGGGCCTGAGCCATCACCAGTCACAGGAACGAAAGCAAAGACCTTCTGCCTAAATACTCTGTCGAAACCTAGATCATTCAACAAAACACAGCCAGGTCTTCTGACAAGACAAATGGAAGCATTCTGGAGTTGCTATGGCTTTGTGTCCAGGCACTGCTGTCATCTCTGTCGCTTTTCCTCTGGAGAAAAGTAAAACAAAGGCTGAGTTGAATCTGTACTGATGGGACAGACACATAGCTTGGGTTGGTAGGAGACACTCCTGACACTCCTGCTACATCAAAGTCTGTCCTTTGCTGTGCTAGGAACAGCTCCAAGCTTTGGAGTGGACTAACCTGACCTACAGATGTATAATACCAAACAAAACCACCCCTCCTACTTTTCTCAAAGTGCTCTCCTTCATCTGTCAGCATACTACCACAGCCTTGTTTGGAGTTAATTTCAGCTAGTTGTGTTTCATCTCTTACTGGATCACGTTCCAGACCTGGGCCACCCCTGCTGGAGCAGAATAAAGTGTGAATGCAATGGATACACAAACATTTAACAGTCATCTTTCACTTCCATCATCCAGTTAACTCCCTAGAGCAACAATTCAGATTTTATGACTTGTTTCCAAACTCTCAGTTTAGAGTTTTTCTATGCAACATATCGCTAGGAAGTACTTAGGGCAATACTGGCTACATACTATTGCCTTACTGCTTATATACTCCATATGCAAATCCATATATACTACAAATTGCATTTTTGCTCATGTATAATTTACTCTCCATGAGCATTAGTCATTGAGTTTTAATTAGCCCTAGGAGAACATTGTCAAAGCCTTCAGGATGATATTGGGAAGACATGCCCAATAAGATGTCTGACATACCAGCTGAAAGTCTCCTTGGAGTCAGCAAGAACACTCTTTGCAAGGCTGCCGCTGCTCCGTGAGCCGCTCTGCTTGTACACACCAAAGCCAGAAAGCCTGACTACATTGTTAAATCTGCCAGAGTTTTTGCTTTTGACTCTAGTCCTTAACAAATTTTTTCTGTAACCAAGAAGATTCTATCAAGAGATTTGTTTGATGGGAAATTATTTCAAAATCTGTAATTTTTTTAATTACTTTTTTTTTTAAAATATCATTTCATCTTCTTCCCTAGAAAAGAGACTTAGCGCTAATTAACTTCAGGAAGGGGAACAAAAATCAAAAATGAAAAAAAAATATGCTGTTTATAATCCCAAATGTTCAAATTAATTCTTTGTCAATGTTTATTCTAGTAGATGTATGCCTTCAATTTGCTTTTTTCAAGGTACAAGCTGTTTTTACACAACGGGAAAACTGTCGCTGCACAACAGAAATGCTGTCTGTTCCAAATTACATTCTACCTAATGTATATGTGTCTATTAGCCAGGCACTACTTCAACACCAAGTTATTTGTAATGGTTCACTATAGGGCAGAAAGTAACACTCTATTTGCAGCTTAACTTTTTTTTGCTTATTTACTAAAGTTTCAACGCTTAACAGAACTACTTTGGCAATGCCACTGGCAACTAAGCAAAAACTCACAAAACTTCCAGAAGCCTGGCAATCAAAGCAGCATTATTCCAAACAGAAGGAGCTACTGAGTTTATGCAAAATTAAAATTATGTTCAACTTAGCAATTAAAGAGATATTGAATTATTTTATCGATTTAAGACAATATACAGAGGTGCTCAATTTTCAGACCAGGAACAAGACAAGCGTCCTGCAATTGATTTTGCTGCAGGTGAATATTGGTTCTCACAGCACGACGGGCTTTGCTAAAAGGACCCTTTATACATAGGCCCTGGGACAGTTTCAGAGATGCCACCAGAGAGCAGCAATATCCCGTAAGAAAAAGGGAGGGTGGTGAAAGGCAATGAAGAAGTGCTGTGTCTCTACATTTTAAAAAGATGCATTGCAGGAAGTCTTCAGCAAAGGACACTGCGTGAACACATCGGCAGCAGAACTAGAGAATGAAGCCTGTCACTAACCGCAGAGGTAAATCCCGGGGCTCAACACAGACTGCTCTAAGCCCAGTGAAGATGATTGCAATTTTCTATTTCTTTCCATTACACATTAAATTAAAGTATTTAATTACGAAACTAAAGTGCCTCAAGCAGAGGTTCCTAAATCTATGGAAAAGCAAACAAGCCATTGCTAAGATGTTCAGGGCTTTTTATCTCAGATATTACAGTGATGGGAAATGTCGAAATTCTACCATGAATTTACCATATTAAGATAGAAACAAGCTCAAGAACACAAAGAAAAATAAAATATGATTTTACATCATCGTATAACTTTGCTCATCATCTTCAACCCATCACACGTTGATAAAAACAGTTTTCAACACAGAAAATTAAGTACTAATAAACATGACCAAGAACTGCTCCCTTAGAAGTGACTAAAAGATGCCTCTTTCATCTGCTACAACAGCTAGAAAAAGGAAAGGTTACAGCTTCATTACATCTGCACAGTATGGGGCCATACTTCCCATTTATTAAGTTATATACTATTTCTATTTAAGATCTTTTCTGAAAATTTACATAAATTGCCCTGAACAGAAACCAAGTCCAAATTTACAGGTTACTGATCTTTTTTCCCTCTCCCTCTGCCAGGATGGCAGCTGACGTTTTCAACTCTTGTTGCAGAATGTTTGTGTTTTACCACTCCAATCAATTCGATTGGCAACCTGAATTAAACAGCTGGAAAACTAAAGAGTTCCTAACAACTAGTACGGAAACTGAGTGTTCAGCCTCATACAATGACAGCGGCATTCCAAATGCTTAGTGTGTATTTATTTCACTCCTAGTGAAATATATTGAAGTGTAATTCTTCCAGACAGTACTGGAACTGATTATTCTAAAAGCTTTTACGAATTTTAGAAGACTCTTAGAAGCTGTATCTGAACCCCACAGTCCAATGCTTACAAACAACTATACTTAACAGTAAAAATCATATAAATTCAAAAAGTAGTATGCTCAGCAGCTAAAGAATTTATTTTAAACAGCTATACTTTCATATAATACATTTTTTCCATAGCATGCAACAAATTATTTAACTTAATGCAGAAATGACTATTTATGACACAGTTTACATTTACAACTTATGTTTTTAAAAGCTGTTCAAATGCAAACCAAAAGGCAGGCACAGATTTGCTCCTACCCCTTGCCAGCACAAGGCAGGGTTCTGAAAACAAGACTGAAGGGCCTCCTTAGCTTCTGCAAGGCTTGTTACAAAGTACACAAAAATCACCCGAAGTTCTGGCTTGTTCTTGTCTACAGCTTGTAGGGGAGGAGGGAAAATGCATAATACTTAGTTCGCTAAATGTACTTAGTTTGTTAAACGTAAAGCAGACATCAATAAAGAAAAATACATTGTGTTTCTGTAGACAGTAAAGTTTACTGATCCGAAGTGTTAAAATTAGTTCTATTCTTATGACACATCTCTAATATAGTAATTTATTACTATGAATTACAATAGCTTGCCATGAAGTAGATTTTATCAATGCATTAGGAAAAAGAACTAACCTGTTTCAGACTGCATTTCGGTGGATCTTCCTTCCACTTTCGTAGAGGCTGATTCTGTTGACTCTGTTACTGCAAGAAGTCAAGTAACAAGATTTTTTGTTGCCTCTCAATTTCTGCCCCAACAGAAGTTCTAGATAAAACGTTAAACTGTGATCTTACAGACTGGCGAGTTCTTCAAGAAATGCACATCTTAAGCACTCAGTGCTCATTGTCACGTTTCCGAGGTACTTTAATCTCAACTCAGGTATTTTTGAACCAGCGAATTGAATTTTTGATCAAACAGAAGAATTACAAAAGACCAATACAAAACTTTCTCTAAAATTCTTCTTATTCAATTTCCTATTAAACCTTCTCTGACCCAGAGAAGCTAATCTTTTCTCTGCACCCCGAGCTGCCCATCTGATTAACACAAACACAATCGCTATAGTTAACCTAACTATAATTAATTTGGTATTTTCTGCTTTTTTTCTGATTTGCACGCCCTAAAACCTGCGTACTTTATCACACTTGTGGGATAATAGCAGAAGATTGGTGAGGAGGATTGTAAACACACTCAAGTGGCTTGCAGCCGAGGTGTAGAAAAACACATTTATCATACTAATTGTTGTTTAGGCTTGTGCGTTTGACAAGTGTTTAGATACCACAGGCCTGTGATAGACTTCGAGGCACCCCACTGAATATGCCTGCCCTGCTATGGGAGAGATCGAAGTCCTGCCAAAACTACCCCTGCGCAAATCTCTGAGACAAAGGGGAAAACAGCAGGTTTGGTGATCCTCTAGCATGGATGGAGCTCCAGAGTGCCCGTGTCCCCACTTCTCTGCCTCTGCTCAGGTGCTGCTTCAGGGATCCCCTGGATGATGAGGTAACGAAAATAAATTTACTCTTCACATCGCATCCGTGGTTTTGTGGTTGTTCCCGAGTCCTGCCCAGGCCGGCTCCCTTACCCTACATGAGCCAATGTCATCAAGTGGTGTTACCACTCCTTAGCATCTGGAGATGTTTGGCACTCGTATTTTAACTTGAGGTTCTTATCTCATAAGGTGGTATTTCTTTAACGTTTAGCCAAACTGCCTCCCAATTAAACAGCATAAAAAGATTACCAGTCTCATTCCGGCTTTCGCTTTGATCTTCTGGTGCTCTGGAGGGTGGTGAGGGCGCTTTGCGCTTCATCCTCCGTAGAGAGGAGTTCACGGAAGCGGTGTCACTGAGGGGCAGCGAACCCTTCCGGACTAATCCCAGAGGGGCCTAGAAGGGAGACAGGCAAGGAAAAAGATTAATAACAATTAAAGAAATACAGTAAAATAGCTCTAGTAATTATTCTCCAGAAGTACTTACAATGTACATGGGGGAAAGAGAGAATGTATACCTATTACCAAACGCATTACGTTTCTCATATTAATTCCTCTGAGGAGTAATTTTCCAAAGAAAAAAAATAAAATTTTTCTAGAGTAATTGAATATATTCACAGAGGTACAAGACACAGCAGTAAAAAATCAGCTGCTAATATAAGAGAGAACTGAAATTCGTTTATGCCCAAAGGCTATTCTACAAACCCCAAATAATTCTAAAAGTAACTAAAAATGTTTGTAGAAAGAAGCTTCAACTGCATTTCACTGCAATGACATGACATGTTTCCTTCTCCATTCCTTCAACAGCAGACCTAAGCGAGCTGTATACATAATTATTGGGATTTTTTCCCCTACTTGAAGTATATGAAGTTTTACAGAAATTTTTAGAAGGCCACCTTTCAAAGCTTATCTTAGAAAGGCCAACTGTCTTATAATCATAATGCTTACTAAAGTTAAATTGTAATAAGGCATAAAAAAAAAAACGACCTACTGATGTTAAAGTGTAATAGTGTCATTACAGAAGACAAAAAAAAAAATTAATTCACAAACAAACAAAACCATTAAAAAACGGGACAAAGGCTCCTCACTGAAGACTTTGTAATTTTATGATATAGTAGTCTAATTGCATTTTAAATTGTTTTAAAAGCATATTCTGTGTCTCAAAAAGACCATGGCTTTGAATCGACCTGCCACTATTACAGTTTGCTTACACTGAAGAGACTTTCTATTTCCACATCTACTAGAACAGTAACATTCAGGATCCCAGCAATAAGGGAGTGTATCTGGCACAACACTCAGCTGCCTATTTCCGATCCCTGTCACTTGTCTACTTGACAATATAAAAAAATCCAGCAGTGACATTCATTTCTGGCTAGAAGGATCCACACAACTGGATATGGCCTCACGTTCAGAGAACTCGTCTGTGCTTTAATTAACCATCCCACTTTGCAAAGCAGAGTAATGAGGAATAGAGATGGCATAAATACACCTACAAATTTTTGTTTCTCTGCCAATCCTTTCACAAGCATCACTGACAACAGAATTGTTCACCATCTCAATATCCATGGAATAACCCTTTAGAAAATGACCACTGAACACATATACATCCACAATAAGGGGGCCATTAAAGACCAAAAAGCTACAGTATTCTGTTGTACATAATCAAAACTACAAAGAAAACTACTCACAAGAGAAAAGAAACTGCCACAAGATGTCCGTGAAACAGTGTTTGGCAGCTCCTGTTAGACCTCGATAAAATACCGAAATGAATGAATTGGGACGGTGAAAACCGTCCTCTGAGCTACCCTGGGCACACTCAGTCACCTGTTTTGTCCCACCTCAGTGTCAGGTGTGACAGATCCCTTGGGTACTTCACTGCACTGTAAAGAGCAACACTGTTCAAAATGTTCACATAATTCTCCCGATTGCTCCAATGCCAAAGTAAGCAACTCAAACCTGTTACAGCAAAGCAGGACTCAGGGTTTTACAAAGGAAAAACAAATCACAAGGGAAAGGTTCTTTTAAGAACAGCAGAGGATATGGACATAGCACTCCACTCCTAATAAAAAATACTTGTATGCTTGAATACTTTTCAAACAAGTCAATTTCTAGATTAAAACATCACACTAAAAAAAAAAAAAAAAAAATCACTTTTCACTTTTAGTTTCTTATTCACATTTCCCAAATAGTTCTATGAGGAAAAACAATAAATAGTATTCAACATCTGAATTTATGCAGGAGGGAGTGTTAAATATAATGTTCTTTCCTCAAATGAGGAAAGAACATTTACTGCTAAAACATTTTCTTGGTTTCTCTTGGGCGGTGCTATTTTTCTCCTCTTTGGCAGCTGCTCTCCAGGCAGCAGCCCCTCCGTTCTGCACAAAGACGCTGGTTCTCTGTTCAGAGGTCTGCACCCTCAGCTGCTTCACGCAGGCTCCCTCGGCTGACTGGGCTGGCAGAGCTCTGCGCACACTCGCTCCGTGAAACAGATGTCACCAGAGTTCCCTCCTGCACAGAATGAGTGTATGTGTAGGGGGGAAATAATGTTCTCGGCATAAGAGCACAAATGCTACTAGAAGATTTTTATAAGCCTTTCTACTGCCCTTTGCATCCAAAGAAACAAACGATTGCAGAGAGAGATTTTGAGAAAGTACTAAATGTTCCAGTTAAGGTTCAAGTGTTGAACAGATTTTCTCAGGAATTATTCAACATATGAATATTAAGAGCTTTCAAATCCTAACAAAGGCTGTAATGTGAAAATAGTACTTTAAACAGATGGAAAAAACCATATATTAAGACATATCTGACAAAGTTTTGGAATATACATCTGGGTGTTCATGTGTCGTACCAACTGCCAATGATAACCCCGTGCTTTATCGGTTACCCTTAAATTAAAATTCATGTTAGAATCAGTAATTAACTGTGCTCGAGCAGAAACACCAGTGAACTCTGTCATAACTTCCACAACATTTATAGGAATTCCACTTTTAACGCTGTACACTTTCCTCCTCCTGGAACAAACAAGGGTGGATATGAAGCTTTATAGCCTCAAACGTGTACCAGCAAATTTAGCACCAGACCCCACGCTACCCCAAAGAGACACTCCGAGGCCAGTGCTTCCCAAGTTCCAGCAGTGGCAGACATGGTACCTGGCCCTTCTTACAATTTCAAAAAGTGAAGGAAAAGCCATCTAGCCACAATAATTTTGCAGCTGGACTGGAAGGGAAAAAGAAAGCATCTGAGAAAGAGCACAGTAGTGGTGGAGTATTTCAGTGTGCTGGAAAGCATTCCTCACACCAAGGGTCACGTACACACGTTTCCACACCATCAGCACCTACCTCTTTTGCTCCACAGATAACTAGATTTAACAGAAAATTGCTAGTCATGTTGCTAGTGTTTCTTGCCCGCCTCTGTGCAACTATACATGCAAATGGATGTCCAAGGAGTAACAGGGAGGGAAAAAAATTGTATTTGCTCTTACAGTGATTCATGCACTCAATTGCTATTACATGACTTAAGCTTCCCAAAGCACTTAAATTGAGTCAAAGTACTCCTGAGGAAGTAATATACCTCTGACCTATTGGAAAGAAAACAATATATAAGGACATTTTTTGTGAAAGGCAGCTCGTGCTACTCTATCCAAACACCTGATATTACTACTGTATTCTATGGCTTATCTACACACTTGTTGGTACAGAAGTAAACACAGTAAGGGGACAAAGTTATGCATTTGGTACGCTGAAAAGAGATGCATGCAATGTTCCCCAATTCTCGACCGCATCAGAATCCTACCAAATGATCTTTATGCAACCTTCAGTAAGAGCAAACAGGTAGTCCTGAGCAATGTCTTCTCCCAGGTAAGCCTGGCTTTACTCAGGACTCCCCTGATGTTCATAGCACTCACTGCATCGTTGCCCAAACTCTCCTTTAAAGGGCTGACCATCAAGCTTCAGGCAACTGAGTCTCTGGTGTAATTTCTTAGGCATGAAACTCATCCCTCCCAGAAATCCTAACTACACTGTTCTGGGACAGTAGCTTACAAGGCTTTTCAGAAACATTTTATGGTTTATTTGCATGCCACCCTTCACCCATTCTCCCATCTTCTCCTTCCCTTTCTTTTCTAAGGGTTAGCCTGGAGATTTAAATTTATGTAGTAGTTAGAGCTGTGTAGATAAATTCAAGCTATATTTCTGCTAAGTTTTATCCATCATTTAAAACTGTAAATGTTTTGACTAAAAATCTCCACTTAATTGTTCCTACCCAAGCATAGTTTACATATGGTGCCTTGCAATAACTGAAAACAGTGTAAGGAGACAACTATTCGAGGAATAAAATGAAACTATCACAGTCTAGTTTTTATAAATAAAGCATTAGGAAGAAAAATCAGCAATGCCATTTTGGACATAATCAAATGCTTTTCTTTTAAAAGAAATTTTCATTTAAAGAAGTGTCAGTTCTAGAAAATTGCATCCACTTCTGTGAAAACTGTGAAGATACACATACTGCGTTATACAACAGCACTTCGCAAAAACCCTTGGGAGTCCTCTCTACTTGCAAGAGTATTTAAACTTTCTAGTTTTAGACATACTTCTGCAAGAACCATCTTGCCCCATAGCAGAACTGACAAATAAGTGAGGGATTTCCATATTAGAGGCTAACATGCTCATTTCCAATCTGATTTAACACAGAAATTTGCTGGACAAATACTATGTAAGCTTATTAGTTTGAGTCTCATATAGAATGCCCAAATCATACTACGTAATAACTTGTAAAAGCTATCTTTACATTCTTTGTACTATTTTCTCCCCTAAAAACAGGAACATGTCTTCCAGAGGTAATTCTACAATCACTCTAGAATCAAGACAGAAAAGATTTCCAACCCTTATACCATAATATAACTGCACATATAAAAAGAAAGTTTCTTTTTTACAGGAAAAGAAGTGAAGAAGCTGTAGGAGGTAGACACTAAAACCCTTTTTCATACTGGGAGAACTGGACTACAGTACACTGAATTTGAAGAAAGACACCAGTGAGAACTCTGTTCCCTTAAAGTTGGCTCATTTCACTGTCGTCTGATGTTACTGCTTTGGCATGTTTCTGCTGAAACCAGGCAAACAGTTCACTGACATTTCACTTAGTCTTCCTTGCAGATGTTACAAAAGAGATTTATCCGTAAGAACGTATCCAGCCTGTCAAATAAATTGAAGAGCAGGCTTCAGAATACAGGCATTCTTAAATGTAATATGATTTGCAAGCAAATGCTTCTTGAAAGGCAAATGCAGATAAAAAGTAACTCTTAAGAAAAAGTATATCCTAAGTTTTATAAATTAACAAATGGGATGCTGCAATATCAGTGAAACTCCCAGACATCCTAAATAACGTAGCAAACACACCAATCAGCCTGGTGAGCAAAATGAAAAAGACCTTAAATCCTACTAGCAGGATGCACATTTCCAACAGTGGGGAATAAAAAAGATGAAATTCTTACATTGTTTACAATGAAATAATTGTGGTGTAGAGTGACCAAGGGTACTTGCCTCATTACTAAGAGTTGACTTAGATTAAGTAACTATAAATTGGTCAGATTGGATTAAGAAAACATTAATGCATGATACAGATGAAAAATTGCTGTGAAACCATCAAAAGTGACTTTATTCTACAATGCTTACACGTTTCTTTTAAAATTCCATTTTTAGGATGTCAACTCCTGGCATAAAGATTGATTTTTACTATGTATTTAAATAGTACCAACTTTATAGATTAAGTTGCAAATCTTGTAAATGACAGTTTTATTTAAATAATATTATTTTATATTGTCTCTTACCTAACACCTTGGGTTTTTAGGGGAACTGTCTTTTATTTTACAGTTAAGTGAAACCAGAAGTCTCAATAGTTAGAGATACCTTTTTGTTTAGAGACTTCAGTGAGAAACTCAGAAACAAGCTTCCAAATATCTTCCCCATGCCAGCATTACTCAAGCAGTGATCTCATGGCAAAACAGCTTATTTGTTGGTTTCTGTTGGTGGAACCGTATTTTATTTTTTCTTTCTCCTAATTATGTGCATACAGTTTTGAAAATTCAAGAGTCTGATTCCCCCACATGAAACAGAAAGGCGTAAAGTGCAAGGGACCTTCAGAGATCATTTGGTCCAACCTTCTACTGAACATAAGGTCTTAGATCAGGTTACCACAGGAACCTGTCAAGGCAGGTCTTGAGTATTTCCAGTGAGAGAACTTCAACCACTTCTCTTGAGAGACCCATTCAAATCCTCAGTTGTTCTCACAGTGATGAGTTTTCTTGTATCTGAATGGAATCTCCTTCGGAGCAACTACAGCCCATTGGTTCTCATCCTGTCACCATGAATTCTTGTGCAGAACATACCTCTACCTCCCCCATAAAACCTTCTAGGTATCAAGAGAATGCAATTAGATCCTGTCTGAACTTAGGTTCTCCAGCCTTTAAACATCATGATGGCCTGTCCACTGGACTCTTGCCTGCTTTTAATCCCTGTCTCGAACTGCAGGAACCAAATCTGGACATAGTAGTACAAATATGGCCTAAAAAGCATTGAGTACACTGGATTCAAGGTGGATGATGTAGCCAGACCCCAGTCTGTTCTCTCCAAACAGAGAATTTCACATGCATCTTTTTTAAATCTCATGCAGCTCTAGTTTGTCATTGTCTTCCTGACTGGTGGTTCTTCTGGCATACTTAATGCCCTGCCCAGTTTGGTATCAACTTCAAAGTTGCTGAGAGTACATTCAATTCCATCACCTAGGTTGTTGATAAAGATATTTAACAGTACTGGTCATACTACCAACTCCTCAGGATATTCACCCAACAACCAGCATAACTTTGAGCCACTAAGCACCACCACTGGATCTGTTTAGCCAGTTTTTGTGGTTCATCTGTCTAGTCCATAGCTTACTTTTTCAACAAAAAATGTTGTGGCAGACTGTGACAAACACTTTGCTAAAATAAAGGTTGATGACCTCATCCTTTATCCTTTGACTTTGGCTTGTCACTAACTTACAAACACCTCTCTTAGTATTCTTGACATCTGCTGCTGCTTCAGGCTCCTGCCTTGCCTTGCATTCCTAACTGCATCTCTGCATGTCCAAGAAAGAGCTCTGCATTTCTTTTGGGGAATCGCTCTGTCCCCCTTCCATCCCTCACATGCTCATTTTTGCACTTGAGCTCTCTCATGTTTATTTTTATACCACTTCTTCTTCTACTTAGGGGAATGGACCAATTTTGTGCTGCAGGAAAGCTGTGACTGAAAATATCTCAGCACTCTTCCAAGGAGCAACTTTATCCTCTAAGGAAGTGTCTCACAGGATCCCTCTGAAGAGTTCTAGGACTAAGTTGATCAGTATGTACTATGCAATCCAAATTCATTCAATAGATGATATTTATTGGAAAGTAGCTACTAAAAAGACAAATTGCTTTACATGAATTAGTAAAATTCAAAGCACGGAGCAAATATTTGCTCACACTTAAGTCACAAGCTCTGTATTACCTCATAAATCACTCTGCAATCAAATCAGAATGGAACAGAAGTCATCCTAAAAAACACATGCCCAAGGCTTTTAAGTTCTAAGGAAGCTGCAAAAATTAGTACAAAACAGAAAATACATATAAAAATATACCTCAGTCTGGACTTCCTTCTTTGTGAGCTATTCAATTTCAGTCAAAATCACTTTAGAGGAATAAGAAATGTCAGTACAAAATAATAAATCTAAGCAATTTTGTTGAGTGACAGATCCTAGCCCAGCAGTCATACATTACTGTTAGACATAATAGGATATGAATCATTTAAGGCATGTTGACATTAATAAATTATTTTCAAAAATTTTGAATTCAATTAAAAGACAAACACAATGAGGTAAAAAAAGATCAATGTTTTCCACCCCCCAAGGTTCCTTTTATTAAAATACAGCAAGAAACCTTTGTCTTCTTCAAATGATAAAGCTTTAAAAACAATTCACGAATTCAGAACTTCTGTTAAACAGTGCTCTCTTGTGGTTCTGTGCATCAATGGAAGAGTAAATCATTTTATGAAATTAAAGGAAGTCACAGTTTGAAATTTCTTGTCTCTGAGTCTAACACAAAATTAATTCCTCAGATTTGTATTTCATTTAGTTGTGCATTTTATTTTTCTAGCATACCAATAACTTCATTTATCAAAGACCACCTTTAGATACTGCATTCAAAGCAAGGGACGCAATAAAAAAATTTATCATGACAATTTTAACCTTCATTTTTAACTGGAATACACAATTAATAATATGTGCAATATGAGGATAACACTTAATGCATCAATTCTCCCAAATTCTGTTGCATGGAACACACAGGTTATTTAAATATGCAGTCCATACCTCATAGCTTCAATCAAATAAAACCCTACTCAACTAACATAAAAACCTTACTTTAACTTGCTGGGAGCACAGGAGTGTTAAGACTACTCCTAAAGACTTCCACCTTATTCTAGTAATTTAATGTGAAGAATAAACTACTCATTATCACATGTAACTAAAACATTAAAAAATACTGGAACTACCAAAAAATCAGTTATTGGATATGATAAAGTGAGACAATGTTCTCACATTTAAATATATAAACTATCCGTCCAAAAGAATTAAAAAAGGTGCTAACAACACCACCTTATGTAAGAAGCTGGGTTTACCTTTTCAAAATACAGCAGCTGCTTTGGATATAGAATATAAAGTTTAAAAGGAACACTTCTTTCAGTTTCTGTAGTTAGCTTTGAACCAAAATTTTTCAAAGCAAGGACTACACTTTCTTCCAATTTATTTCAAGCCTGAGCAGACATTTATAGGGCTATCATGGTTATTAGGTCTAAACTTCTCAAGAGAAGTGAAGGAAGTGTAACCAACCTGCTCATCCCTGTCAAGGCTGTTAGATTTCACCAAGCCAGACGCTGGTCCAGCCTGGGTCTGTGCGAGCTCCTGGGGAGCACTCTGAGAGCTTGGCAAAGGCGGTAGAGGAGCTCTCCGTTTCTTCGGCATTTCAGATGGCAGAGTGCTGGAATCGTACTGCTTGCTAACAGTGTTCGATCTCGTGATAAATGTTGGCCTTGGCTTGCTCATCAGGGGAGTTGCTGGGGCACTGGCAGCCTTGGGGTGCAGAGGGAAGAAAAAAATCAAGTTACTTATACTTTATACTATACTATATTGATTATTATACTATACTATATTATATTATTATTATACTATATCGATTGCTCAGTATGAATACATTTCTAGAAGTTTTGTTTATATGAAGTTACACCTTACTTGTTCTCTTTTCTTCTTGTTTCGCTGAAAAAAGCTGAAAAATCCTTTGTTTTCTTTCTCCTTCAAAACATCTAAGTTTTCAGATTGGTAGGAGTCTAAAATAGAAAGCAATAGTTCTAGATGCTATTTATTGCACAAATTATTTCTCCTGTATTCTATTTCCCTCTCTGCCTCCTGGAAGGATATACAAAACACATTCTAAGTCACCTATATTAACAGTTTTTCCTAAATGCTGCAAAATGAACAGGTTTTCTACCATCCATGTTCTTCCTGTCTTTCTCAGGACTTGGAACAGATTATTTTCAGCTGCTGTTAATACCCCTAAAACTTAATCCAGCCCAGCCCATTTGTCACATGTTACAGTTCATATCACAAAGGCTGTAAAAGGGAAAAAGAACATCAGTCTCTCTAGCTCTCAATTCCCTCTTAACAGTTGGAATTCGTGGCAAAGCGTGAAGTGGGACAAGTCAGGCACCAGTGTGCACATCGCACGACTGTGGAGAAAGATCATGGAAACACCTGCTGGTGCCGCACACGTAACGGCACGGCAGTCGTAGTAAAGACAGTCAAGTCCATTCTGGTATCTTGCAGAATTTATCCTACTTATATGGTCCTCTTCATGCAGAAGATTTGTAAATCTAAAAGGCTGATACTTTTTAATTTTTACTAGATTTAACTTTCTTGAAGGAAATCCCATTGAATGCAAATACAACAAGCAACAGAAATCAGGAAGGTCACTGTGGGCTCTTAGTACTGGTATCAATATAAACACGACCATAAATTCAATCAATTGATCTAGGGTAAAACTATACAGCTGGGTACATTGCTTATGTGTTATCTTTTAAAATGTGCATTTATGATGGGACAGAGGAACAGTTTAGCAGATGTAATGATATGACAGGATGGTAATGTCAACTAAGCACTACAGTTTCACCACCTATTTCAATATATCGTACCTTGCAAAGATGGTAAATTTAAATCAACTGGTGATGTGGCTACAGAAAGACAAAAAGAAAGACAGAAAATGTGAATCTGAATCAAGGATGCAATTTTAAGTTACAAACACAGAAAGCCAAGCTGAATCTTCATCATTAGGAAAAAGTAACTAGGTACTTTCCTGGACTAAAGGATGTGTATTACCTAATGCTGTAAGTCATTTAAAAACTTGAACCTGGAGACATGAAACACAGACTGGGATCTCATAAATAAGGAGAGAGGCTCCACTTATATTTCTGAAGGGAAGAAGAAAACCAGTATGCAGAATAGTTCTCTCTAAGTTTTGGACTGTCAGGCAGTCCAAACTTGGAAAACAAAGAGGCATGTAAAATTAACATATAATCCGAATAAAATAAAATTTGAATTTAGAATCTATTACGTAAAAGGCACACCTCATCATTTACTTTCATAAAGAAAGTTGAAAATTCAGAGCTTTGAAGCTGTCTGCACAATTCAAATGCTGAGCTACTTTGTATCAAGAGAACTAAGTATATCTAAATTTCTTAGCAGGGCGCTGTCCTGTAGAAAGCTTATATGCCCTCATACTCTCTGCTACGGATTTTTGGCAGTTGATTCAAACAAAACAGGTGTCATACTGTGCCAAAGGCAGCTCTGCCAGTCTGTAGATGAAAGCAGCAGCCAGACAACAACCAAGACAATGCACTATGGGCACATGCAGTCCAAGTAACATGTTTAGGCAAGTTAAAATACACTGGTGGGACAGAAAAAGATATTTCATTTTTGCTTTCTCTGTGGGAAAAAGACATATTTTCCAAATGTCTTATTCTCCTGTTGCTCAGGAAAATTGGCCTTTGGGAAGCAGTTGAAAGAACTCTTGAAACTGTAACCACCAATGAGAACGTAACCATATTTAGGTAGAAGAGGGGTAGAAAAACCCAACAGCCTTCTACCCCCAGGTTTTAGTGCAAAAGAAAAACAAGCAAATACAACAGTGGTCAAGAACGTGAGTGAGCCAATATTACTGCATTTTATACTGAGGTAAAAATTTCTGTGAGAAATGTCTGAAACAGAACAAACCACGCTGTACAGAATTTTTAATCACAACAAATCCTTCGTGAAAAAAAGACAGGCTTACAGCTAAAGTTAAAACCAGGCATAGAAATGTCTGTGCAAACGTAAGGAACTTAGTTCGCTGTGCCCCTGTTGGACCACAATTAAAAAGAGAATTACTGTTCCTTCACAATCTATAAAATCAGCAAAGAGCAGTCAGCAATATACATAAACACCATCAGAATACTCAATTTTTTTTAAAAAAATTAATTTTAATACAAAAATAAATGTCTTTAGTATTTCTGTTCCTCCCAGCTTATCACGATCCTCTTTTCCAGGAGCTAAGGGAAATACAGTGTTGTTGGTGATTCGGGAGAAGAGGTGGGGAAAGGAAAGGAAGAGGTTGCTTTTAGGTGATTTTTTTGTAGTCAGTCACCTTTGCTGGTATGTGACACTTTGTTAGAAAATAAAGCCCTCACACAGCACTTTTCAAACACAAGTAGAGATAAACTTGTCCCAGTTTCAATTTTGTGGAAGACTCCTGAAATATATATTAAATTGCTAAAAATTAGTTTCTACGTAAGTAAAAAACTCAAAACATGTACATTATTGAAATACGATCTTTTCTATAACTGCAATTTACAAAATTTATCTTACCTCGACTAATATCCATGGCATATAGTTCTCTCAGTCCAAGGTCATTAAGAGATTTTGTCACGTCAAGGGGTTCTTGAGACTGGTAATTCTTCAACAGCAGAGTGTGTGAAGGATCAAACTCACATTTGCTACAGATAATTGGTATGAGTTCTTGAAGGGGTGAATGTGGACTAACTCTCACTACTGTCTTCTGTGTCTTCTTGTAGTTTATCACTACCCTTACTGTTTGCTAAAGAGAAGAAAACGCCCATAAATATCAGCGCAAATTCCAAAAACAACTGGCATTTTTATAACAGCCTTACAGTAATCACAGGAATTCCACTTACGGCCAACTTCACCAACGTTACAGCTTCAGAAGCATTACAAGAGAAATCAAGAACTACTTTTTATGATTCCCTTCTATGCAAGAAACACACAAAACAGTCTGTTCCTCCTTCGGCATCTGTTGTTTGCCTGCCCTGTAGAGCCCAGCCTGGAGTGAAAAGCCCTACTAGGTCATGTTAGGCAGCTGTAGAATCTGGTCTGTAAGCCACGACTGTGTGTGTCTGCACACTCGTAGGATGAAGGGAAAGGGCAGAAGAGCTCCCCTGGTCCTGTCTAAGTGCTCTGCATGAACTAAAATGAATTTATATGAATTAAAAACCTTCTACGATCTATATTCTTCTATACAGTAGAAGGACAAGGGCAGAAGGAAAAGATTTAGGCAACACCCAGAAGTTATTTTAGTACTTCTGAAAGCTCCCGTCTTCTTAAGGGTATATAAAACCATCAAGTAACAACAAAAAAGTACAGTATGTATTAAAGGAAAATGAACATATAATCAGAAGGGTATATATATATCACAGCATGACAGATGGCACAAGTTGTTGGTTTCCAGTTTGTGGAATGCTGTAAAGCCACGCTTTTTGAGCAGAATTTGTCAAAAGCACACTAAGGCGTGGGATTTCAAATAATATTGTAATGTTTCCTTCTTTTGGCAGCAAAGATGTATGCTGCAACAAACTGAGATATATTTTACCTAGGAGGAGGTTATCAAGAACATGGAGATGAATGTTTCACAGCAGTACATGATGAGAGGGTGAGAGACAACAGGAAAAGCTGAAACAAGAGTCTGAGCTATCAGGTCAACTCAGTCAATACAATAGTGATTCCAATTTATCCTTGTGTTTTAATTTTATTTCTCACCTCTGGTATAACCGGAGCAGGTTTCTTCTTATCCATGTGTTTTGGCTTTACAATCACCTTTTCCACTTCAAGCATTCCAACTGGTGTGTTTGGTTTAAACTTAATTTGGCTATTTTCTGCTGATACCAACTCTATAGTGTAACTTGATGGATTTAAATGATACTGTGCACAGAGAAAGATCAGCAAGTCCATCATGGGCTTCCTGTAAAGGGCAAATGGAACTGTCACAACAGATGACAATTAAGCAGGCTATAGCAAAACATGCTGCTAAATATTTAATCCAAGTCATCCTTTCCCTTCCATAACTAAGTAATTACCGCCAGACAGCAAACTGAAATATCCTCAACATCTTAAAAGTAAAATAAATAAATCACTAAAAAGAGAAAGAAACCAGCTTGCACAAATGTATTCAAAATGCTTGAGCAAAAGGTGAAATTTTTGCTTGTGTGAAGTGATGCTCTTCCTGATGTCAGCATGTACATGTGGATCAGTGACATTTAACTGGAACTGTAGCAGTGGTGATAAATGCCCTGCTATTCATTAAGAACAAGTTCCTTCCAAAGTTTGAAGCTTCTGAAGGTTACAAGGGACTTAATTTTCAGCAATTCTGAGCATGAGCCATTTGGAGGAAGCAGGAGAAATAAAGGTTGAGGAAGTCAACTTTTAAAGAGGTCCTGCATTAGAGATCCCAAAACGAGAGCCTGGTGGTTAATACAGGCAAAGGGAAAGAAGCTAGATGACACTATAGTAGTTGAATGCAATTTCTTCAGAAACTCTGTGATGCAGCAGATCTCCTTTTCACAATGAAGTACGGCAAACTCAATTTTTCATATGTAGTCACTAACAGTATGCTCTTGTTCTCTCAGTGCTCAATGGAGAACATGTTGCTACTGGAATAAATTTATTGAAGCTGTACTTTAGGCAGAAGTGTCCTAGAAGTTTAAGAAGGAGAGTATCCTCACTTTGCAGCAACTGAATAAGGTTATAGTACTATCAGGTCACTTGAACCGGTCATTCCTCAATAATTTTCAGAGTTGGGTAATCACCTGTAAGGAGCATTTGATTGTGACTCCCTCTGCATCTCTCAGTTACAGCTGCAAACAGAGAAATCTATTACTTGCTCTGTCTCACACGGATAGTATGAAGATAATTTAAAAGTATGTGAAGCAATCAAATGCTATGTTGAAAAGAACACTGAAGCATCTAAGAGAAAATTAATACAGGGTTTGGCTGGTATGACTACCAGAGATTTTATTCTAGATGTAATCTCATACAGATGCAAGTATTCTGGTAACATAGTCAAATGTGGAAACAGATAGCTTCTACAGAAAGCCATCAATTCTAGACAGTATAAAGATTGTGAATACATTTATTAAGTAGAAAGTTAAAAGAGACTTTTCATGAGATATGGTTCTGTAAAAAGAACTCGGAATGACTCAGTGTTAGAAATTACTGTGAATATTGTTTTCCTTCCCCCCTTACCCTTAATTAACCCTAGAATATCATTCCTGTTTTCCCTTGCTCTTGCAGAACAAGTGTTCCTAAAGCAAGTTGTCTTCTTATTTCTAGAAGCTGGACTAGACTTTCTGATGTACATGTTGTACTTCCAGAACACGGAAAGATGGAAACAATTTGAAAGCTGACAGACAGGTTTTTTTTCTCCCCAGAGTAAAGTTTCTGCCTGCTTAAGTGGCTGGAGAACACCTGTCTCAGGAGACAAAGGTAGGAGGAAGAATAAAACCAAAGAACATGCAGAAATGATGCTCTGAAGCATCAAAAAGCAGCTATCAGGCAGTCTGAAACAGTACAGATGAATGTAATATACAGAAGAATGTAATATACTTCTTTGCCTTCATTTACATGATGTATATCAGTGTGAGCAATACTGTAAGAAATGCACTGAGCACTGCAGAAAAACAACTATTCCTCCCTTCTCACACAGCTAAAGCAGTTTATTTCAATTCTCCTCTCGCATACATCACAACCTGCTCCAATCAGAAGAAGAAGAAACTACCTGATTTCTTGTACTTCTAACCCAGAATAGAGCAAGTACATCCATCTCACCCTAACAAAAAAAATGAGCTGCAAATGCAAATAACTTCATTGCCCCATTTCCCTGGGGTTAGGGCAGGAGAGGTGGGGAGGAAGCCAGAGGAAACAGCAGACACGACTTCTGTACTGACCTTCCTGGTTATCCGCCTATCCAATAAGTTACCCATTACTTTTTTTTTTTCTGGTGTATTTTTATACACTTACTAGCTTTGAAAGCTGCCCTTCTTCTGGCCTTCAGTTATTGGAGAAGGGTAAAAACACCGATGATGACCAGGACAAGAATTCACAAGCAAAGATGGCAGCAAGCTGTCCTATGGAAGCCCAGCAGGGCGACAGGGGCAAGCCCTCACGTTAACCAGAGTCAGAGGAAGTGACACAATGGGAAGTGAGAAACAGTCGATCACAAACAGCCAGGTACACGCAAATCAGTACCTGAAAACAGCGATTCAGTGCAAATTTGCTTTCCTTTGCAGGGAACGACCTGTTTGACTGGAGGATGGCAGACATTAAGTCCTCCCTCCAGTGGAGGCCAAGACACCTTCAACAACTGCTTTAGCCAGACGCTCCTACAGTGATCCAAAAAGCAATCTTGTTTTGGAATCACATCCTCCAAAACTTGTAAAACTATATTTTTCTACAGCCTTCAAGGACTGCAGGTAGACGAATACATATATCACAGTAAATTTAACAGTTACCATAAATGATATTTAGCTAAACTCCAAGAAGTAGCCATTAGCTGTCCCAGAGTACATCATCTGCTTGTCCTCCTTTTGAAATCTCTTGTAACTTGATTTGAAAACTTCTGTAACTTCATTACATCGCTTAGTTTTCTTCTAATCTCTCATCTTAAATTTATTTACATATTCCTGCATCCCTTCAGCTCTCATCTCTTTTCCTCTGGTTATTCCTACCTGACTAAATAACAATAAGAAGTGGCTAATAAGAGTATCTCATTACATCACATAAATAGTCAAATCATGAACCTTCACGTTCAATGTATCAAACTATGCTGTTTGTAACCAGTTAAAGGTATTACAAATACCTGAAGAACTGTCTAAAAGAAAAAATGCACCGAATTTCTACACTCTTCTCCAAAAACAATGGCTAGAAACTCGCTACTCAAAAACAAAGCTGAGATTCTCACATAATCAAACCTTAAGAACAAGGTCTTCTCATCATAAGACTCACAGTAAAAACCACTTACCAAAAAAAGAAAACCTGTCAGTCACCACCAGAAGTATTACTAGGTAGGGATGGAATCAAAAGGGAAGAAAAAAATAGGAAAAAAAAGCAAAAGAAAAGAAAAGAAAAAGAAAATCCTACACAGTTTGGCTTTCTATAAATCTCCGATTACTTAAGCCTATGGCTTCATGGCCTTCCTTGCAAAAATATTTACTAATCCTATTCTCTACTGAAAAAGAGACATTTGTTTTCACAGAGAACAGCAAAAAAAACCCAAAACCACCAAACCCCTAGAATTTGTTACGAACAAATGTCACTACAAAAGGTTTTGAAAAGTAGGGCAACACCACAAAGCTTGTTATTCACTAGCTTGTCTCTACAGAGTAAACCAACAGTTGATTAAGAATACTCTAATGACTGAAAATACTCAAGAACGGATCAAATGGAAACTCACAAAGGACTCTAAGAAAACAAATTCAGTAAAGCCAAGGTCTGTCTGAAAGGTGTCTGAAACTTAAGCCCTAAACATGCTACCCTCCAAAATGATTTGTTTGGCACACCATTTCCAAATAAAAAGTATCACTATTATAAGGGCCCTTCAAACTCTAGGATAATTTAATGATGCATGTAACTGAAATTCAGTACTAAATTTTGAGAAAATTTTCTTAAAACTGCATTTATTCCTTGTAGGAAAACAAGATCTACCTCAAAATGATCAGGCTGCTAAATAAAATATTTCTTCAAGTTATTTGTTGTCTTCTTTGGCTGCAGAATATTTTTCAGTCCTGTGCTGTATATAAAAATCAACGGAACAGATTCAGAAACTTAGCTCTGAAAAACATCCCAACTAAAAAACCCAAACATGTGATGGTTTTTTTTTTGGTTGGTTTGTTTGTTTGCTTGGTTTTAAGTAACTGTTTCCCCGACAGGAATCCCAGTGATAGGAGAGCGCAAATGCCACTGTTTGATTCTGAACAGATGAGCTGAATCACTGTCACCAACTATGACAAAAGACAAATTAGTTTCTAGGCTTTATCCGTGCCTGAAGTTTCAGAAGGAGGAATGAACTATTTCAGTACTCCTGCCCTTTTGCATCTCTGTTTTTTGCTTTAGTTACCCATAAATCAACTCAAGGATCAAAAATGATTCTCACTTGCAATCTTTTTCTCTAAAACCCCTTTCAGATTTGGTTCCGATCTTCTGCCTACTTCTACTCACTCAGAATATTTATCTATGTAACCTCTTGGTTTGTTCTACAGAGCTCTTGCTATCCGCTGTGTCAAAGCAGGAAACAAACCAACACCACCTCATCCAAGTAGCCAAGTTTCTTCTAATGGACTGCAGCATTTGAGCACATGGCCGTACAAACTCACAGTTTTGCATTTTTTAGTATTAATTTTAAAAGGTATTCTCTCTTTAGGAGCTTTGAAGCTGCTCATCTCCGATTATGAACAGGAAAGAAAAAAATTAGCAATTCATCTGTTTATGTGATTTCTAGAGGGATCTTGCCTATTTGTCCACAAAACGCAACTATCAAGACAGAGCAAAACTAGAAGAAAAGACAGTTTGAAGTATGTCTTGCAGTGGACTGTAGGTCCTGCACAGTACTCTCACTGCGTGAGCCTACACAGGTTCTTATTGGCAAGACAGTCATTTATGAAATTAAATGGCAGGCAGTATCTTCATTGAAAAAAGAAACCCAGCAACTGGGACACTAAAACTGATTGGGAAATGTGTGCTCTTCCTGATAAGCCTGGAAGGACTGTCTTGAATACTGAGGAATTATACACAACGTAATCCGACCGAGGGAAGATGTACGCAACATTCCGTTCTGAGCACTTTGTTCCGAGCAAAGCAAGACAGCGGGCACACAGCACTCCTACGTGTGGACAAAGGGAGCGAAAAGAAGAAAGAGAAGTGCTGGCCAGCGTACACATGGAGCCCACCTTTCGGCAATTTTAAAAGCAGAGGAAAGCACCTTGTTTACAGACAGCAATATTCCCTGCTGTAAACTTGTCATCAGGAACACCGCTCAGCATCCTAACCAATTATTTCAGCTGATTTCTTCTGAGAAATACAACCTCAGATTTAAGTTATCCTGAAAACCACACGGAGTCGGAGGAGGGGAGGAATCCACGAAAGTTCACCCACAGCAGCTCTGGTGAACAAGTTGGTATTTGATGTCTAAGCAACAACCTTATGAACGCCAGCAATGACAAAACATTTAAAGAGACTCGAGCCAGACTTCATCTCTTATTAACAGGCAAAGTACCTGTAATGACGTATTTACATTACCTGGTTTAAATAAATAAATAATTCACCCTGCTTGCTTTCAGTAGCAAAGACACTGGCAATACACTAACACAAGCACAAGACATAAATAGTTTCTTTATTTCAGCTTAAGAAAGTAATGAACTTGCATCATAATTGCTCTGATCCATTCAAGGCCTTGCATAGGAGCCTTCTTAGTAGACCTGCTATAATAATTAGTATTACAGTAAGGTCCAGGATTTATGATTTCAACTCAGTAGTCAATGATAAGGTCTTTCTGAACTAAAGGTGACTGAAGAGTTACACACAAAATCTATACTACCAATTAGCAGATTGCAATATGTATTTCCAATTAAAAGCAGCTTAAGCAAAATATGTTGGTTAAAAAAAATCCAAAGCTGTAGCTAGAAACTCTTTCTCTGAAGATTACAGATTTTTTTCTGAAGCAGTTAACTCCTTTTTTTTTTTTAGGACTGCTGTTAGTCCACAGGTAGTAGAGCAGAGCAAACGCTGAACACATGATTTTGGGCTCAAACAAGATGTAGGATCTAATTTTTGAGTCTAAAAAGGAAAACTTATGTGGAAAAATTCAGTGACTCATACAAACCAGTATTTTTCTAGATATATGCAGTGACTAGAAAGAACAACAGGCATGGCTATGTATGCCAAGAGGTGCCACACAAAATTTCTCAATCTCAGAAAGAGTCTTGCCCAAAGGCAGGAAAATGTATAAAGCATATGTTTCCACAACTACCCAAAAATCCCAGCAGAATCATAGCATCATTTAAGTTGGAAAAGACCTTTTAGAACACTGGGTCCAACCATTAACCTAGCAATACCAGGTCTGCCACTAAACCATGTCCCAAAGTGCCATGTCTACGTGTCTTTTAAACACCTCCAGGGATGGGGACTCAAACACTTCCCTGGGCAGCCTGTTCCAGGGCCTGACAACCCTTTCCATGAAGGAAATTTTCCTAATATCCAACCTAAATCTCCCCTAGCACAACTTGAAGCCATTTCCTCGTCCCACCACTTGTTATCTGGGAAAAGAGACCCATCCCCCACTTCACTAAAACCTCCTTTCAGGCGGTTGTAGAGAGCGATAAGGTCTCCCCTCAGCCTCCTTTCCTCCAGGATAAACAGCCCCAGGTCCCTCAGCTGCTTCTCAGGGGACTTGGGCTCAAGTTCTTTCATCAGCTCTTTTAGGACACACTCACGTATTTTGCCGAGTGGTTAAAACCTGGATGCAGGTTGAAGTAAACTACAGCAAGAAAAGAAAATGAGACAAAAATGCCATTCTGTGTAACTCGCCTCCCATTAACTGTGGTGTATTTGATCACATCCCCTGGCAGGACCACCGATAGTTCAATATCTTTATCGATTACATTCTCCTTCTGTTCCATGATGAAGTTGGCTGATTCAGTGTCATCAAATGGAGAAACTGCAGTCGGTTTTGTTTCAGATGGAGGAGGCGGTGCTTTAGATTTTCTTCTGAAATAAATGGATAAAAATTAAAAGTCAAGCAGGTATTTATACATACGATTCCATACTGGCAAACTAACAAGTGTAAGAACAGGAATGAATCACAATTCTTTTCACTCAGACTGTGTAAGTGATATGTGCAAGGAAGGGATGAGAGAATATTTTAAACTTACAGTCAGGGGGGACAGAAGATAAGACATACTAGTATATCAGTCATATAAAAAAAATAAAACAAGCCTAGAACAAAAAAAAGGTTTTTGAGTATACATTAAAAAAAGTAAATAAATTACTTGTTTTTTCTCCATTAGGTTACGCAAAGGCTCCTATTTGTGCATTCTCCAAACAGATTTACTGGATTAGTATAAACAGAAATACCATACTAAACAGTATGAAGCCAATTACACTGATAGTATGTTTAATACAGAGGATAGATAAGTAATGGAATAATCACACTTTTTCTCCCCAAATTTTTTTTGAATTATTTTAATAATCAAAAGAAATCCTACCAGCTCTAGTATATTTACTTCTCTATAGTAATAATGTAGCTGTATAACCAATACTACTGTGTTGCAACGTTTCTTGACATTTCACTTACAATATGCTTTCGTATTTTCCCCTCACCTACACTGATTTCCTATTTTACTCTTCTCGCTATTCTTTCCTACCCTAGTGACAAGTCAATGTTACTCCTGAATGCAAAGTGTGACCACTAAATAAGTTCCACCTATTTCACTACTTGAAATCCAAAATGGCATAGAAAAACTCTCTAGGTTACAGTAAATTCTGAAAGCAGGGCTCTCATGTCCTGCAACATAGAGCTTAACATCCCCTTTCATTCAAGTAACTTTCCACAATTCACTGTCACAAAGGAAAGATACCATTATTAAGAATTTCACCATTAGAAACAAAACCAAAGCACGCTTTGGAGGCACATTACCTCACAAGAACTTTTTAGTTTCTTACAAGCATTCTTTAAAAAAGCTTGAACGGAGCCACAGGCACAGAAAGTTAAAGTTCAAAAAACTATGCTTGCAATTTAGATTCTGGAGTTGTACCAAAGTTGGTTTACTTGAATCATAACCAAAAAATTAACTTCTATAATTCTCCGACAGAATTAAAACAAAAGAAACAGCAAACAATAATTACAAACACACAACTTGGGAAAATAAAGTTTAAAGTCACTCACAATGAAAAGCAAACAAGGTCCGGAGCAGCGTTGCAAAAGACGACCGTGGAATGAGACTTCACGTGACCGACCTGGTGCTGAAAGCGCTTAGAGTTTGGAACTTCAGAACTCCGCGCGGAATAATTAACTATTCACAGCCTTTCCAAGCCATTCGGGGAGTGCTCGCAGAAGTCCAAACACACTGAATGAGGATTCGCCATCAAAATTTATGCCTCCTTTCTGTTAATGTTTTAAATTAATTTTGGTGCACTCCGCATACAATTCAGGATGTGTGGAGTTGGCCACAAATTCAACTTTGGTCTCTACAGCAGCTTGTCTGGGCTATTTCTGAGTTACACAAACACTGCAAAATGTATGAATCAAACTTCCTTTTACTCCTCCCTGATTTGTCTGAGGGTTTTTTGCATGATTCTTACCCTTCATATAGCTGCCAAAAAGAAATTATTAGCACTTCAATACAACTACTGAAAAAAATAAAAATAAAATAAAATGAAGAACTCGCACTATGACATTAATACCAAAAAACCACCCAAATCGAAAGTGAAGCTAAACAGCTTTTCCCTTCTTTACTTGGGCTTATGTCTTTAAGTGACTTCAAATGACTGTTAAAAGATATTTATCACAACTGAACTCAGAATTTAATCTTTGAAGACTACATGCTGCAGAAAGCTTTGCTTGCAAATGCTAGTGAACTTTATTTTCCATTAAGTAGATGAACACAATTTTATTGCTGGAACTCTACTATCACTGGAAAGTGCTAAAATCAGACACAGCAATAAATGCACGGTTCACATCAATAAAATGCAGCTTTATTTATACAGCGTGTAACTCAGTAGAGAGCTAAAACTGAGAAGATACTCCCATCAAAACTTGTGTGCAACAGTTGGGTCGATGAAGCTTCAAGTGTTTATAAAGAACCTGTTTGAGGTCAGGCAGTCTAACGAGGTGGCTGAATCTCCCCACACACAGAGCTACGTACCCCAACCGCCTCCAAACGGCCACGTGCTCGCTCTGGTTAGTCATGCTTATGTTTCCCATCCCACAAAAAGGAGGAAGAATCTCCAAGTATACTTTCTCATGAGTTATGCTGAGCTTTTGGCAACCTCTTATTAAACGACAGGGATCCCAATACTTCTGTTTTCTGTTTCTAAATGCCATGTCTCTTATTTTCTTCCTTTTTCCACCAATTCTCTCATACTCAGCCCAAAGTATTAACATTTGGTCTTACAGCTTTTTCATTTCTTGTGTTCGTGCCTCTGTGTTGCCACAGGAGACGCTCCCTGATGGGCAATGGAAGCCCTGCCCTCCCTGAGCCCCAGAGCTGGTAAGGGGCAAGCAAGAACAATTTGTCATCATCATCACGTACAAGTGCACATCAAGAGCAGAAAGGGCCAGGATGGTAGAAATAGCAAGGAGAGCTTTAACTCGTAAACCCTCCCCTCCTCTTGTGCACTATGGGGCCTCCAAGAAGCTGTCACAGGTGTTTTCTCTCATGAAGGCACCTCACACCGTTTTTAGTCAAACACCAAAAAGTAAAACCAGCATTAGCCAAGTAACTCCAAGTCTACATCATCATTTCAGACACTTATCCATTGTGAAGAATAAAGAAATAACAGCCCAGTTCTCTCTCGCCTCTTTGTCTCTAGCAGGTAATAAGCAAAGAGGTTTTTTTAATGAATTTACTAAAAAGACAGTGGTTAAGGTAGTTTCTTCTCCAGAGAAGAAAACCCTTGATTTTTAGTAAGACAAAATACAACCATAACAAATAGAATAAAACTGCAATCCTGTACAAAGGAAAAAGAAATGGCCTCACTCACAGCACCTTCCATGTTTCAGATAGCTTCCAGATGTGCTAGGAGCTAAGGAGATATGTTCTCATTTTCAAAGTAAACATTGGAAGTAGATAGAACAACCAAAATCATACTCTTTATTTGCATGGCTACTATAGAACTAAAGGAAAACTGCGTGAAGAATTGAAGTACAGCTTCTTTAGCTGTGACACAGGGGGAATTAAAAGAAATGTTTTAACCAAATAAGGCCACAACTCCTCATAAAAACTACTCTGGAAATTGTGCTGCGGAATCGTACATAATACTGGTCTTCATCCCTTCCTTGCCTCTGTAGGTCTCCACCTTGGCAACTGACTGACATTCCAATACCCCGGACATTAAAACTGTCAATCTCAACTCACCTGAAAGGATGTGCTCCCCACAATTTATTACCAGATGACCAATTCCAGCTACCTATTACATGGCAACAGCTTGAATACTTCTTCCCTTTAATCAATTGCATAAGACAAAGCAGGTCAGAAAAAGATTTTTAAAAAAGAGGAAAAAAAAAGAAAAAAAAGAAAAAAAAAATCTTTCTTCTCTGATTCTTCCTAGCCCTGGAAAAGGCAGCCAGAGGGGCACCCACACTGCTGTCCACAGAGTCCCACAAATCCAAGCCGGTACAGCCTGAGGAGAATTTGTTTTTCCCTTATTACCAGTGCCCCTGGAGCCCACTGCTTATGCTTATGTCTTTCAGCTAGCCCTTACCCAAGTTCCCAAGAGAACTGCTTCTTATCTCTTAGAAATTTAAAATTCGTAAGTCCCACCTTTAATTTCCACCAGTTTTTGTGATAGGATACAGTTCCCGTAAAGGCGTTACCGAAATCTTTCAGCCAAATGCAGATAAAAGACTTCTTTTTTTTTTTTTTTAGAAAAACAATATATCTTTTAAAATTAAATGCAAGGCCAAAATCCCAACATTTTATGTGCTTCAGATCCCACTTCCACAGAATAAAGTGTCATTGCTGTGTCTCAATGTATTTCCTGCTTGCAAAAAAACCTAAAAAAATAGAGTATCAGTGATATGAATGCGTGGAAGCCCTTTTTAAAACAAAGGTCTGACACAGTAAATAAATAAAGCATCTATTTATTTGATTTTCAAAAAACTCCTGTTATCAAGTTTCAAGCAGTATATTTTTAACTACCAGTAACTAGAGAAAGGCACTTTAAAAAAAATGAGAAATACTTGAACTGACAGTGACCTGGATATTCCAGTTATCACTAGTACTTCCTTTTGATAAGAATCACTTCCCAAAAAGAGATAGAGAAAAAAAAAGTCTGCTATATATGTGCATGATGAAAAGCTAGAGCTACCTCTTCAGATCTTGATATTAAGGGATATTAATATTTACAGCACTTCGCATTTTGAACACAATTACATGAGACACCATACAAAGACCTCCTCCCTGAAATTATTTTGGATCTAACCTCCAACATCCGAACTCTACAGCAATCACCTAGGCCAGGAAAGGTCACCAGGGGCCTCACCTGCAACTCAATCATCACCAGGTACTGAAAAAGTTGATTAAATATAGTACAATAAAAATCTGTCATTGCACAACACACAGACTTGAATTTGTTAGTTTGGCTCACGGCAGCATGAAGAACACTGCATTATAAAAACCACACTTTTTTTTTATATTAAGGTTTACAGAACTACATAAGCCAAAAGTACAAGCAGCACTTCATTTTATTTTCACTCAAAGTCAGCAAAGGATCTAACTCTACTCAGATCACATCATGAGATGGAAAAGGCCACTGCAATAAACCTTCCTCTAGGGCTTTTCTTGCCTTTGACTCCTCACCCCAAGCAATTATTATATTGCTTCTTCTATTATTACAATAATTCAGCTGTAGCAGACAGCCAAACCCTCGCACATCATCTGCTCAACCAAGGAACAGCTGAACAAGAGCGCAGCCCTACATTATATTTTTTTTACAATGACACATCAGTTTTGGCCAGCAGATATACAAAATATCGAAGCCCTTAATTTCACCTATAAGCATTCCTAGCCCAAGACACATCTTTAATATTCACAGAACAAATTTGTCTCCTACAGTGCACAAAAACCATGAAAGTACCAACTTTCCTCCTGTTTATTCAGTTCCCTCTTTGGAGATAATAGTTTCACAGCATCACCACCGCACATCTTTAAAGATCAAACGCTACTTGCTAAGAAACACCTTGGAGAAAACTGCAGCATTACTGTCTGACTCTGCTCATCATGGTCCAGTTATCAGTGAAAGTCACTCAAAAAATCACCACTTAATATTTCAAGACGTATGTATAGACAACCTCTTAAAAGAAAAAAAAAAAAAAGGAGAGGAAATATTTATTAAGACAAATGTTCAGTAATCTACATTTTAAGTTAGTTTGCAAGTTGGAGCTCCCAGACTGGGACTTGATAACTACATATTCAAAGCCATGAAAAACTGAATATTTTACAATAGTGTCTGCTGTCTACGGGCCAGCGTGAAAGGCCAGTTTAATCTGCAGTGTAATTATGGATGATATTTTTGGTCTCTTTGCTTTAGTGAAATGCAGATCAATTTTTGTTTTTATTGTTCTTA